CCGATGTACGACAACGATTTCGGTTGGGGGCGTCCGATCGCCGTCCGGAGTGGGCGGGCGAACAAATTCGACGGCAAGATCTCCGCCTTTCCCGGAAGAGAAGGAAACGGGAGCGTGGATCTTGAAGTAGTTCTGGCGCCGGAAACAATGGCCGGCCTCGAGCGGGACCAAGATTTCATGCAGTACGTGTCAGCTACAGTTTGATTGGTTAGCCAATGCTGGGGCCCGCAAAGTTAATTAAGAGAGATAAATGAAACTAAATCTCTCCTCTCTCGACAAATTAATCAACTTTTATGGTAAAAGTTAAAAGTGAAAAAAAGAAAAAGAAAAAAAGAACTGGGAAGGTTAAAACAGTTAAAACAGAAGAGCGGAACGTATGGTGTGAATTTGATCAAAACAGCGACGTTTTGGGTGTCTTTTTAAAGAGTCTACTATGTTTACTTACATTTCTAGGATCTCTATGATTTATAGCTTGTATCCATGGAACAAAGTTTGGAAAAATATAAATATTTCTAATTCATATGCTTTCTTACCTGACATTAAAAATAAATCAAGTTGTTAATAAAGCATAATTTAATTAATAATGAGTTTAAGAGTTTGAATCTCCGAATTTAAAGATCACGTTCCACCTCAAAACTTGATTCATACTTACCCAAATAATCAATTTAGATCCACAAATCAACGTCATCTCATTATATGGAAATCTCTCCAAATTTGTCATTGATATTATTTTATGAAAATCATTCAACCCGTTTTGGACGTTTCTAATTTCGCAATGATGAGATATTCTTTTAATTAAAAAGAAAAAATGGTACTGGGAATACATTGAGTATTGGGGTGAAGGAAAAAAAAAGTCATGATTGGTCCAATAAAATTCAGTCCTCTAGTCTTTCCATATGTAAAAAGAAATGTCAAAATCCATTTGAAACAAGAAAACGACAAAATTTACATATCCTCCAAAATTGTCTCAAATTAAAAAAATTTACACTAACTCGTAGGGGATTGTTTCTTTAACACACTAATTCACTTCTTTTCTTAGGGGAGGGCATATACGGAATTTCACTGGCTTCCTAGAGCCAATTAAAAATTGACAACGCAGGAAGAATAAGGTGACACGTGGTGGGTGTCAGTTGGTGTCGGACGGAAGTGTAATTGTAAAAAAATAATAAAAAAAAAGGTCAGCTATTTTTTGAATGCGACAAAGCTGAAATTGAAAATACCTATTTTTTGGAGGACATATCTCATTTGCATCATTTGAGAGGTTCTCCATTAGTGGAGGCAACATTTTTAACGATCAATTCTTTTCGAGACGAAATAACATAATTTTGGAAATTAATCTCAATTATTTTATCTCATGTTCTCCATTTTCTTGGGTTGTGGCCAAAAGCTCAGCTTTCCTCCATGTTTATTTGGAAAAGAGGTTTTTCAAAAGTTTTGATCACACATGAAATTGTCTAGCTAAATATAGTAAAATAATAGCGGTATAAAACTAACAACAAAATAATAACAAAACGAGCATAGCTTAGCGGTAATTGACATATACGAGGAAACTAGAGATGACAAATGTGAGATTTCATTATTGACATGTGTTTACAAAGACTCCATTTTTACTACTTTCCATAGGGTTACAAGATCCACGATCAATGATATTTGTAAATCATAAGAGTAATGAGAATTAATGATATGAATTTATGGAGCGTGTAACCTATGAATGTCATGGACATCTACGCTATTATCATATCTTTAATAAAAAGTTCAATTTTCTCAACTATTTAGAGTTGGTGTTTAATAATTTTTTTTTTAACATTTTCATCGGTCTAAACGTGTCTAACAAGTCCTAAAATTTTAGCTTTTAACTTTTAATTATGTATCTAACATATCTCTAGATTATAAGACACTTTCTAAAACTCAATGATCTATTTGACTCGGAAATTGAAAATTTCAAAATTTATTTAATATTATTGTTTATAGTTTAAGGATTTACACAACATTAAAATTTCAATGGTCCATTAAACATTTTTTTATGTTAAGAAACTAATTAAACACCACACTCTGAATTCAAATGACGCAACCTATAATTTAACCTAAAATAAAGTAGACTTGAAATAGGCTATTTTTTCACACTAACACTTGTAAAATGAGCTAAAGAAATTAGGATGGTAATTTGAACAAAACTAAGTATTTAAGGTACTTAATAACTTAGAATAAGGTTGAAAATTATCTCTCTCATTCTCGACTATGTTGGAAAAAGAAAAAGTATTGAAACACTTGAAGTTCTTAAAATTTTCATTATGAGTACAAATGGAACTAAGAGTGTACAAGGATTAATGAGGATATGAACTACAAAGTTGACCAGTTTTTCTGGTTTAATGAATATATACACAATGAATGTATATTGTATTAGCAAACAATCACACAGATGTTCTACTTAAAACCAAGCTGATACATAGAAAAATACTCAACCATTTCACCGGTAACTAACTTCTGGGGATGATGGAAAAATTCGTTTAAACACCCATTGGAATGGTCTTAGAAACTGTGCTCTTTTCTTGCGCCAGAACCATATAGCTGCGTTGTATTGTTCGTTACGGATAACCCGAGTCGCGGCTTTCCAGTCGTATTTCTCCATCTCCTCGCGAGCTGCCTTCCCCATTGTTTCCCTCAGTTCTTGATTGTTCAACAGAGGCTTCAGCTTGCTCAAGCAGTCCTCGATGTCCCCGGGGGTGTAAAGGTGCCCGATTTTACCGTCTAGATCGGGAGGAATTATGTCTGGAACTCCACCAGCACGAGCTCCCACGACAGGGATCCCGGAGGACATAGCCTCCAACACGACGAGTCCCAATGTCTCCGATTCTGAAGGCATTACGAAAACATCGCCACTGGCATAAGCCTGAGATAGCTCTTCACCTGACAACATCCCTGTAAATACTGCAGGCATGCCGGTGAACATTTTCTCTAGCTCCTCCCTGCCAACAAACATAAACGTTATCAAACAACCCGAAAAGAGAAGTCGTCGTTCCACCTTCAGTAGTGCCACAAACTTGTACATATAGACCAATAATGATATCATAATCAATGGAAGAGCTCCCTACAGCATTTGGTCTTTCAGAATGATTTAGTTCAGGGTATGCTAAAAAGTTGGCTGTGCCAGTCTGCTAGGTCCAAGCTCAACTGATTTAGTAGAGAAGATTCAACTAGTTTAGATAATAAGCTCATAACAGCTTTGAAATGCTAGAGTTCATACCTGTATGGTCCGTCCCCAACGATCGCGATTCTTGCATCGGGAAGTCGATCCATGATCCTATTATATCGCAGGAAGAAATGTCAATGATTGCAAGATATGAATATATGTACAACTATATCATTTCTGTAATTGATATGGAAAGTGGAAGCTTAATTTAGTTTCTTCTATTTTACAGAACTTTCCTCTTTATCATCCTTCTATTCTAGAACTTTGTTCAAAAACTGAAAAGCTCTTGTGGAAATTTCTTTTGAGAAGAGAGATGAAGGTAGGAAGGATCATTTAATTTGTTAGAGAATTGTTTCACAATCTAAATCCTTAGGCCAATGAAGCTAACCATATTTTTTACATTTTGAATAATCAAACTCAATACCTTTTGAGGAAATCCAAGCTCTTCTCAACTCCAAGTCGTCCAACATGAACTATAAGAGGTTTTTCAGGCTCACCGCCACTGTAAGACAAAAACGACCCGCGTTATTAAAGGAGATATTCTCTTTAAGTTACATGATTAATATGAGGGAGAGGGACAGAGAATCTTACCTCAGTCTCAATCTCATTTCATGAGAGCGGAAGCGAGGATGAAAGCTTACAGAATCTACACCCTTATTCCAAAGTCGAATCTTATTAGCTGTGAAGAAAAAATAGAGAAAGAAAAACCAATCCTGTAAGCTTTCTTAGATAAAATTAAAACAAAAGGATGTCATAAAATCTGTATCGTTAGTTTATGCACCAACTCAAATCACCTGCTGTGACTTTTTCAGCTTCAAGATCCTTGCCAATGGCAGCAGATGGCACCAGGGTAAGATCAGCCGCTCTGTGGAGAAATTCTAAAAAGAAACACTGAATTTTCTAAATACTGATCCTTAACATTCATATGGATATGATGGAATAGAATAAATCCTCACGTACTTATAATGAGCCACATCGGTTTAACCAACCAACTAAAAGTATATCTTGGAATGTATCTGCACATCAAAAAAGATACATTTATGGTAATGTAATATCGATCGGATATAATCGCCAACAAGACGATCCCAAATGCAACTGCTCTCAGCTCTCCAATGATTGAGAGGAAAATCCCAAAAGTAAGCATAAAAATAACTTACACTGGTACGTGAGTATGGTAAGACATAACGAGCGGTACGCTTAATAGTTTCGCGATAATCAGGGCTCCGAACACCTAGAATACAGGTTTGGCAATGGTCAAACCATATTGTCCAAGTTCAAGAACTTCAAAATTAATGGGATGATATTGAACACTTGCCATTATCCCCGGTGATGATGCGTGTATGATGTCGGGTTTAAACCGAGCAACTTCGGAAATTATTCTTGGACTAAGTGCTAGAGAAAGGGGAACCTTCTGATACAAAGGGCATGGAAAGCTGCAAATAGTTAAAGACAATTTGAGTAATAGGTACCTAAGAAGCTTCTACTCAAGCTGAAAGTTTGAGATTATAAATTTCATGAAAGGAAAAAAGCTGACATAAGAAGTAAATCATCACAGGGGCCTAGATTGTAAGATTATTATCATCTTACGTGAAGTACCTAACTTTTACCTTCGTGATCCAATTAATTTTGCACCATAAAACTCGTCCGGTACGCCTTCATGAGTTGTCACAACCATCACCTAAATAATTTACCAAAAAATGTCAACTTGTCTATTTGTAAAATATTCACCATTTTTCCTTTTTCCCATATGAATTGCTTATCTTAAGCACCGTTTAGTTCCCCACGTAGCTAGATTAAAGGAAAACAAATAGAGAACCATGGGCTGGTTTCTCGTTCTGTTTTATAAAACAACTGAGTTTTTCATTAAGACAAATGAAAGATAAACAGGACGGCATGGCACTGGTTTCTCATGGCACAACAGAGAGTAATAAGTAATTAAATAGAGCACACTTGAGCTTGTTTCATTGCAGGAATTTAAGATTGGTTAAAACTTCATTTCAACAAGCATAAAGGAAGGGATAAATTTGAACCTCATCACCCATTTCGCGTAGATAGCGAATGAAATTCTGGAATCGATTTTTGTATCCTGACACGTATCTGTAGAATCAACAAATGGAAGATAACTCAATGATTGAGATTTCTAATGAGAASTACCAGAAGGATGCATTCAATGATAAAACAAGAACAGAAATTTTATCCGACTATAGTTCACAATACGTTTAGCYCTTACTTTTGTAACCATGTCAGATACATTTTATCTCTAATTTCAACATTTTTGAAAACAACRTAGCATTTGTTCATCAAGAAAAGTTCCAGCAGCAGAAAGGACATATTGATTAGAAACTGTTTGTCATAATTAAACTTGAGCATCAATGTCTTTTAGGCCACAGAAGTGAATATAACACTCGTACATTCAGAAGTTGCAACAAGATACACTTTAGAAATGGGGACAAGTTGCAAAATTTAGCAGAATGTCGGTGCAAGAACAACTAATGCAATAACAAACACTATCCTGTAAGTAAATAAACAGATCCGTGGATAGAGAACGAATGATTAAGTATAGATCAATGCAGCTGATTTTTACAGTAAAACTAAAAGTACTGCAACAAATAAACAGTTCTGGACATCTGATGCAATATAGCTATCAGTTAAGCAGTTATGAAATCAAAAGTTCAGTTCATCCAAGGTCGAAGTGGAAACCAGCCCAGGGATCACTTAAACGGATACGTGGCGAAGAATCGAGAAACTTCAATCAAGATCARGGTAGCTTCGCATATCAGAAACCCCTTCAATAAGAGGATAGGTGAGGAAGCCCAAGATTGAGATCCAAACTAACCGCTCATTTAACATCAAGCAATTAGCAACCCTTAGATGCAATTAAACCAAACAAAAGAACTTAACCAAAGTCATAAGATCAGCTGCTAAGTATTTGCGAGTCCCAGMTACTCAAAATTTGAAAGTAACAAAAGGAAAACACTAAAACAGAAGATGGGCAGCAAATACACAAGGCCAAGAACACAAAATTGCTAATTGATTATGCATAGAGAAACTCACGCGAAGGGAGAAGGCTCCACAAAGAGAGCAATACGACGAGGTTTCGAATTGGTCTCTGGGTCAAGCAGAGGAGGACTATCTTCCTCTCCTTCTTCAGCCCTCACCTCAGCAATAGTCATTTCTTTAGCCTTCACAATAAGATTATTCCCACTTCCCCAATTCCTCCCCGGCCCCTCCAAACAGCGAAATCGGACAGCTCTAGAGAAAAGACTTCTGGGTTTTGGTGTTGAAGATCTGGAATGTGGGAATCTCACACAAAGGGGAGCTTCATAGAAGGAAGCGGCGGCGGTGGTTGCTACGGTGGTGGCGGCGGCGGCAGGGGAAAAGGGTGGAGGAGAAAGAGAGAGATTTATAGAGAGAGAAGTGGTGGTCATTATGAGAAGGAGTTTGCCAGCATATAATATAGTAGGTGCAGTGTCTGAATTGGGGTTTTTGAAAAAGGGAAAGAATTTTTAGCTGTCTGATAATTGTGTAAAGTTGAGTAACAAAGCAAGCAACCCAAAACCACGCAGAGAGAGAAGATGATTCCTTAGAAGAGTATCTGGGGAGGCCTGAATTCTGAAGAGGAGACCCCTTTTATGGATATTCMATTTCCGATTGAAGAATTTTCTCCCTCTGTGGAATCAATGAAAGGTTCTTTCAGCATATGCTCTCTTCTCTCACTCTGTGCTCCTAATTTTCCTTCCCCCCCTTTTCCCCTTTCTTCTAATTTTGGGTAATCTTCTCGAACCAATCCTTTTGAGTTATATCATGATGACGATTATGATAATGAAGAATCCTTATAAATTATTAACAAAKATATAAGTTCCCATCCAAATGGCCGAGTTTTATGCTTTGCTTGTGAGTTGTGAACGAAAGCTACCACTTTAAACTTCTGTTTATGGCCAAGAATATAGAGTGTCATGTTTTTGTAAGTTTATCATTGATGATTGAAGTTATAAGCTTACAAAAWCGTATGATTGGAGTACTTTTTGCCACTGAAATACAATATCTATTTATTCGGGAGAAAAAACTATTAATTTTGAAGTTTAGATATTTCTGGATTATTAACCGGAACATATTTCAATGAATTAAGACAGTCGATTAGATGGTCGTGAATTCGAATCCTRCCTTCTCCAATGTACTAAAAAAAATCTCTTTTTTTCCTTCCTTTTTTTTCAATTCTAGTATTTTTACTCTTCCTTCTTTTTTTCTTGTTCTTCTTACTTTGGATTCTTAAAATCTTTGAAGACAATATTTAAGTGGTTGATTGGAGAATGGGAAATCTGAAAAATTCAAAACCCCACCATTGTGGCCTTGACACATGGACCAATATGCCCATTTTTCTATGCTGCCCTGCCCCATGGCTGACTCTTCTCAAGCTCTTTGTCCAATCATATTTGAACTTGTATAAAACATGGTATAACTGAAAAAAACYACACATAAAAAAATTGGTTTTGGTTTTAAATATYATTTTCGCCCATTACTTCAATTCATTTTAATTTATATATTTTAAAAATGTTTATTTAGATATTCGTACTTTTAAATTTKATCTATTTTAGTCGTTATACTTTCAAAACAATCATTTTTATTTTTGCATTTTTTAAAAATAACTAATTTAATCCTTATCTAAAACAACAAATTATATACATAATAAAAATTCTTAAATACAAATTTATGACTACATTTCAACAAATTTAATGAATGAACTATAATATTAAAATTATGATTTAAAAAATAAAATTAAAAGTAAAATAATCTTTTAAGAGTATATAAACAAAAATAAATGTTTTGAAAGTASAAAATTCATATGGATTAAAGCAAAAATTACTTGGACCGTAGTATGTAAACCTAAAAATTCGATAAAAAAAGTCTATATAGCTTAATTGCATTATGATAGCTTATACAAGCTGCAAAAATAAAAAAATAAAAAAATGTGAATGACATGAAATCARGTCACATAAATATCTTGGACGAAAACTTGATGCCACAGAATATTCTGTACCATGTTATGTTGCTCATACTTGTGCTCTTAAAATAAGTTTAAATATAACACAATTAATGTTCTAAATATTTTTCAATTCACTCCTTAATTATCTATAACTCTTAATTTTACCCTTCATCTTTCTAAACTACTTTCCGGGAACTAAGATTTAAAGAAGCGCAAATAAACAAATTAGGGGTAGGAGTTTTGAACTTCGGACTTCAAGAGGAGGAAGAACTCAGCTCATTTTGGCAGTTACTATTATTATTTATAATTATGTCATTTTCTAGCTTTTGATTTAAAATATTGGTTACACTTTTAATACTGATTTAGGGTGTATTTGGGAGTGATGGTAGAATAAATGATTTTGAAAAAAGAGATTTAAGTATAATTGATGTATCACCCTCGAAGTGATACCTTAAAAATCAATTTAAAGTAATTTTAGATTTTCCTAAAATCAATTATTTAATTTGTCAAATATAACAATAGAAAAGAAAGTAATTTGGACAACAATAGTGAACTAGGGAAACACGAACACTTATCTTTGGGTGAAGTATCTGTGTCGGACACGTGTTCGACACGGATACACCCGGACACATGCCAGACACGTGTCAGACAC